TTCAGCCCGGGGTCAGACCCGACGGGGCAGGTAAAGGCTGCCGGCTACAAAGTGGCACGCAAAGGTCAGGGTGTGGAGCGCACACAGTGAGCCCATTGATCCCACTGTATACACCTCGTCGCTTGTTCACACCACACCGAAAAGCTTTCGGGAGCTACAGCGAAATGTATGACGCATACAAATAAAATTGACGTTTCCATTCGCACAGATGAAGTCTTCACCCGCAACCCCGATGATGACGAGCGCTACAGAAAAGTTATTGTGGATGGAATTTTTTTTTCAAATTTAAATGACATTCCTTTTTTTGAGGGGGCGGGGGGTTACAGTTTGACTTTGGCCTCTTTGGCCTCCATGGCCTGGGTGGCGATGCGAGCGCGCTCCGTTAGCGAGGCGTCCTGCGGCGCGGCGCTCTTAAGCAGGAAGTGGCTGATGAAAAGCTTCAGGCCCTCGCGCAGCATTCGCAGCTGGGGAATTCCAGAAATCCTGGCAGGCGGGCAACAAATGAAGGGGGCGGAAGGACGGTGGGTGGTCGACAGCATGCAAAAAATAAATAAAAATAAAAATAAATAAAAAAAAACGAGCGTCCAGGTAAAAGCAAAACTATCTTGACACTGCAGCTTGAGTGAAATGCGGGAGAACGCTAACTTCTACATGATTGCTATTCTAGGTTGAACCTTTTGGTTTGTTACAGCTGCGGTTGTTGTGAAAGCGCTTTACAAATAAAGATGACGCATTGTATATATTTCTACTTCCAAATTGGGTCCAATTTGGAATATTTCTCAAAAATGTCTCCAACATTTGTATTCAATAATGCATGTAGACAAACACATTTTTTTGACTAATACGAAGCAGAAGCTAAGAGCGTCTTTAACACCACGCAGGGAATTTCTTTATAACACACGTCTTTTTACTTTGATAGGTGCTGCTGTTTTGGTTAGCGAAGCAGCAAATAACTCCAGAGCTCACGCCAGTTGTATTACCCGTTTTTTTTCCCCCTAATACGGGAGTGGGTGGGTTGTGTTGCTCACCTTGAAAAAATGCCGATGACATCCTCGGGCTCGGTGTCTGTGAGCAGTCGAGTCAGGACTTGGCGCAGGAAGCGCACCTTGGCCTTGTCGAGCTCTCCGAACTCGATTACCTAGAATACCAAAAGAACCACCCGTGTGAATGTCCAGAAAGAAAACGGAACGAAAATGGCACCCGGCAGAGCGAAGACCTCCACCAAGGCCAGACCGACCAATAGCCACACAGAATATTGAAAGTGGAGGGAAAGTAGCATAGCCAGATCTGTCCCAAAATATTTTTTTTTTGTTGGACCTGAGTGCCTCCCCTCTACGAAGCTTCTTATTTGCATCATCAACCAACTAACGGTTAAAGAAACATATGATTTTTTTTTTCTTCTTTAGATTTTTTTTTTTTAAAGCATTATTCATTAGCTCGCAAAGCAAAACAAGAATTCCCCTCGAGTCCGGAATGTGCTTGCTTACTTTGAGCAGCGAGAGCGAGAAGCACTTTTTCTGGAGGAAGAGGGTCACGAGCTGGATCAAATTGTTAAAAGTCCTGGCGGGAAGGTTGGAAAGCTCCCGGAATTTATCCCACAGGCTGAACTGGAAGGTGATCTGTGAAAATGGAAACAGAAAAAAAGTGTCAAAACCAATGAGAGGAAACTTAACGAGCTCACGCGCGAAAAGCAAACGTTCCCAGCGCGGCTCTTTGAGAGGGACAAAGAGTTGTCGTGGCCGATGCAGTCGGGCCGAGGAGGAAGCGTTGTTGTTGGTGGTCGCAGTTTGAGTGGTTTGCTCATAACACGGGGGCGAGAAGGTGTGAGGAGATCCCGCCGCGGAGGTCGCGGAGGTCACGCAGGTCGGAAGAGGGGGTACGTGAGAGGAAGTTAGTCATTAGCATGCAGACTTATTAGCACTCAATCAGGTGATTAGGATCAGTGGACCGTGGCTTGGATTGGTTTGTTTTGGAGGGCCTTGGAAATGACATCAATGGCTCTTTACATTGGGAGGGGGCAATTTCCTCAGAGGGACATCATTGTAGATGGACGGCAGAAATGTTTTGATGATTTTTACAACTGTAATTACGGGGGAGGGACTTCACGAGCAAACTTCAAAAAAAAAAAAAAAAAAAAAATTGGGGTTGGTTGCTGTGTCAAAAGTATGAGCGGTATCGGTACTTGGTATCAGTGCGTACTCAAAGACTAAGTACTCGTACTGGCAACAGTCCGAACATCTCCAGTTGAATGAATTAACTCTTGTTTGGAAAGGCAAAAGGTTGGACTTTGGACTTCCGATTTGGTTAACTTGTGAGCTTTTAGAGGGTTTTTTTTGGGGGGGGGGGTGTCATGGCTACCTGGAAGCGGCGGTTGTGAGCGCAGAATTTCTCTCCCAGCACGGCGTAGAAGCCGTTGAAGCTTTTTTCCTGCAGGCAGCAGTCCATCAGCACGTGGACGATCTCGCGCTCCTGTTTGTCTTTCAGCCCCATCCTTTACGCCAGCAATGAGGTTTTGTGGTCACAATTCAATGTCACAAGCCCCGCCCCACCTCGACCACCTTCAAATGAAGGACAACGTACCTCAGCAGCTTGTCAAAGGCATCCAAGTAGTCCTCGCTGGTCATGAGCACGCAGAAGATGTTCCTTCGGACCTCCGTGTTCATCCGCTGCTTTCGGGCCAGTTCCAGGACTTTGGCGGTGAACTGAACACAAAGCGTGGATGGGGGATTTTACTGGGCTTAACATGTTTTTGACCTTTTTTTTGGTCAGAACAATCAGTGTTTCACTCACCTGCCCTTCGCCAACGCTTTTATGCTCTTGCTCGCTGATCATGGGCGCGCCGCTCCACGACGAGCCCACGATCCACCAGCGGCCGACCTGGTTGGCCGACAGAAGGTTGTCCAGGGACACCCGCAGTTTCACGTCGCTACCTGCGGCGTTGCGCTGGATCTGTATCGAAAACATTTCGGACTTAAAAGGAATCCTATTCAAAAGGATGAACAAGAGCCAAAAGATGGATTTTGTCATTGACTGCTTCGATCAGCACGCCACTTTACTGGCAGCATTTAAAGGCAATTCTTTGGGGCCACCTGGTGGCCAATGTGTAAATTACCATAAAAATCTAAAACTGAAAACGCTTTTTGTCACCTTGCCTGCAAGCTTTATTCGTGTTTCTTTTTAAACATTTCGGCAGAATTTGTAATCAAATTTTCAGAAGTACATTTGAATTAAATCATTACTTTTACGGTACAGTTCGAAGCACACAAAGTGGCGTACAATAATATTAGCTATTACACGCCATAATTGTGGTCGTTGAAGAAATAAGTATTTTTTTAGGTGGTAGTTGGAGTAAAACAATAAAAATAAAAAATTGAGAACCGCCGATTTTATAGTCACCCACCAGACTTCTCTGCAGTTTCTTGAGCTTCTCCACAGGCTCTGGATCGTAGCCCGGAATCTTGCGCATGTCGTTGTTCTTCAATGCCAGCATGGTTTCCAACATGAAACGGACCTACAAATGTTACGTTATTAGTGCTGGAAGTGCAGTTTAAGGGCATAAATGGTAGTTGCTTTGTTTCCACGAATAGTGGCTCCTCCCCAATTCCAAATTTTACGAAAATAATATTTTTGGGGACGTCAGAAGAAAATACTATTTTATTCTCTCTAAAAACTATGGCAGTTCCCGTAAGCTGATTATTTATTTCAGGGTTGTTTTTTTTTTTGTCACCTTGCCTGCAAGCTTTATTCGTGTTTCTTTTTAAACATTTCGGCAGAATTTGTAATCAAATTTTCAGAAGTACATTTGAATTAAATCATTACTTTTACGGTACAGTTCGAAGCACACAAAGTGGCGTACAATAATATTAGCTATTACACGCCATAATTGTGGTCGTTGAAGAAATAAGTATTTTTTTAGGTGGTAGTTGGAGTAAAACAATAAAAATAAAAAATTGAGAACCGCCGATTTTATAGTCACCCACCAGACTTCTCTGCAGTTTCTTGAGCTTCTCCACAGGCTCTGGATCGTAGCCCGGAATCTTGCGCATGTCGTTGTTCTTCAATGCCAGCATGGTTTCCAACATGAAACGGACCTACAAATGTTACGTTATAAGTTTTGTGCTGGAAGTGCAGTTTAAGGGCATAAATGGTAGTTGCTTTGTTTCCACGAATAGTGGCTCCTCCCCAATTCCAAATTTTACGAAAATATTTTTGGGGACGTCAGAAGAAAATACTGTTTTATTCTCTCTAAAAACTATGGCAGTTCCCATAAGCTGATTATTTATTTCAGGGATTTTTTTTTTTTTTTTTTTGAAAATGCTCTGTTAATATGACTTACCAGAAAAAAATACAAAATATTCATGTTTAAATTGATAATGTGCCCAGCGACTAATTAGGATTCTGATGGGGGAACAGTCAATGTTTGAAGAAACAACTCCTCCCCAATTCCAAATTTTACGAAAATAATATTTTTGGGGACGTCAGAAGAAAATACTATTTTATTCTCTCTAAAAACTATGGCAGTTCCCGTAAGCTGATTATTTATTTCAGGGATGTTTTTTTTTTTTTTTGAAAATGCTCTGTTAATATGAGTTACCAGAAAAAAATACAAAATATTCGTGTTTAAATTGATAATGTGCCCAGCGACTAATTGGGATTCTGATGGGGGAACAGTCAATGTTTGAGGAAACAGATTTGGCTTTAGTTATTCACTACCTACTCTGGTTT